ATTTCACGAGTCTTGTTTGCTTAACCCTTTCAGGGCCCAGAGGCCAAATTTCAAAGTGCGCACAAGGGTCCAAGAATTTTCAAATAAAAAAAAAATGATTTTTTCTTATGAAATGGTAGAGAATCTTTTTCTGAAGGTAATAAAACAAAGTACAAAATTTGATGGAAAACTGACGAAATTATGCTCTCGCGAATTTTAATGTGTCAGCGATATTTACAAATCGGCGATTTTGACTGACTCCCATTTTAGGCCAATTACATTATTCCAGTAGATCAAATTCATAGCTATTTCACTAGTATTACTCCTATTCTATCGATTGAGCACAATAAATCACCCAGTCAACTGTTTCAACTACAAAATAAAGTGATCGGAAGTTGGTAATTTCGATAATTTAACACAAACTTCGAAATATTCCAATTTCAAAATAGGGTCCAGAATAAACAATGCAGACATTCCTGGCACTAAACTAACATTTCCTCTGTTCATTAGTTACGTTTTGAGGCTTTACAAATAAATTCCATTTTGATTTTTTATTGTTTATTATGTTATATTAACACACTGGCCGATTCCCACCAAGGCAGGGTGGCCCGAAAAAGAAAAACTTTCACCATCATTCACTCCATCACTGTCTTGCCAGAAGGGTGCTTTACACTACAGTTTTTAAACTGCAACATTAACACCCCTCCTTCAGAGTGCAGGCACTGTACTTCCCATCTCCAGGACTCAAGTCCGGCCTGCCGGTTTCCCTGAATCCCTTCATAAATGTTACTTTGCTCACACTCCAACAGCACGTCAAGTATTAAAAACCATTTGTCTCCATTCACTCCTATCAAACACGCTCACGCATGCCTGCTGGAAGTCCAAGCCCCTTGCACACAAAACCTCCTTTACCCCCTCCCTCCAACCTTTCCTAGACCGACCCCTACCCCGCCTTCCTTCCACTACAGACTGATACACTCTTGAAGTCATTCTATTTTGCTCCATTCTCTCTACATGTCTGAACCACCTCAACAACCCTTCCTCAGCCCTCTGGACAACAGTTTTGGTAATCCCGCACCTCCTCCTAACTTCCAAACTACAAATTCTCTGCATTATATTCACACCACACATTGCCCTCAAACATGACATCTCAACTGCCTCCAGCCTTCTCCTCGCTGCAACATTCATCACCCATGCTTCACACCCATACAGGAGCGTTGGTAAAACTATACTCTCATACATTCCCCTCTTTGCCTCCAAGGACAAAGTTCTTTTTCTCCAGACTCCTAAGTGCACCGCTCACCCTTTTCCCCTCATCAATTCTATGATTCACCTCATCTTTCACAGACCCATCCGCTGACACGTCCACTCCCAAATATCTGAATACATTCACCTCCTCCATACACTCTCCCTCTAATCTGATATCCAATCTTTCATCACCTAATCTTTTTGTTATCCTCATAACCTTACTCTTTCCTGTATTCACTTTTAATTTTCTTCTTTTGCATACCCTACCAAATTCATCCACCAACCTATACAACTTCTCTTCAGAATCTCCCAAGAGCACAGTGTCATCAGCAAAGAGCAATTGTGACAACTCCCACTTTATGTGTGATTCTTTATCTTTTAACTCCACACCTCTTGCCAAGACCCTCGCATTTACTTCTCTTACAACCCCATCTATAAATATATTAAACAACCACGGTGACATCACACATCCTTGTCTAAGGCCTACTTTTACTGGGAAATAATCTCCCTCTTTCCTACATACTCTAACTTGAGCCTCACTATCCTCGTAAAAACTCTTCACTGCTTTCAGTAACCTACCTCCTACACCATACACCTGCAACATCTGCCACATTGCCCCCCTATCCACCCTGTCATATGCCTTTTCTAAATCCATAAATGCCACAAAAACCTCTTTAGCCTTATCTAAATACTGTTCACTTATATGTTTCACTGTAAACACCTGGTCCACACACCCCCTACCTTTCCTAAAGCCTCCTTGTTCATCTGCTGTCCTATTCTCCATCTTACTCTTAATTCTTTCAATAATAACTGTACCATACACTTTACCAGGTACACTCAACAGACTTATCCCCCTATAATTTCTGCACTCTCTTTTGTCCCCTTTGCCTTTATACAAAGGAACTATGCATGCTCTCTGCCAATCCCTAGGTACCTTACCCTCTTCCATACATTTATTAAATAATTTCAAAAAACCACTCCAAAACTATATCCCACTGCTTTTAACATTTCTATCTTTATCCCATCAATCCCGGCTGCCTTACCCCCTTTCATTTTACCTACTGCCTCACGAACTTCCCCCCCACTCACAACTGGCTCTTCCTCACTCCTACAAGATGTTATTCCTCCTTGCCCTATACATGAAATCACAGCTTCCCTATCTTCATCAACATTTAACAATTCCTCAAAATATTCCCTCCATCTTCCCAATACTTCTAACTCTCCATTTAAAAACTCCCCTTTCTCCTTTTTTTAACTGACAAATCCATTTGTTCTCTAGGCTTCCTTAACTTTTTAATCTCACTCCCAAAACTTTTTCTTATTTTCAACAAAATTTGTTGATAACATCTCACCCACTCTCTCATTTGCTCTCTTTTACTTTTGCTTCACCATTCTCTTAACCTCTCTCTTTTTCTCCATATACTCTTCCCTCCTTGCATCACTTCTACCTTGTAAAAACTTCTCATATGCTAACTTTTTCTCCCTTTATATCATCATTCCACCAATCGCTCCTCTTCCCTCCCGCACCCACTTTCCTGTAACCACAAACTTCTGCTGAACACTAACACTACATTTTTAAACCTACCCCATACCACTTCGACCCATTGCCTATGCTCTCTTTAAAGCCCATCTATCCTCCAATAGCTGTTTATATCTTCCCCTAACTGCCTCCTCTTTTAGTTTATAAACCTTCACCCCCTCTCTTCCTGATGCTTCTATTCTCCTTGTTCCCATCTACCTTTTACTCTCAGTGTAGCTACAACTAAAAAGTGATCTGATATATCTGGGGCCCCCTCTATAAACATTAATCCTGAATTACTCACAGTCTTTTATCTACCAATACATAATCAACAAACTACTGTCATTTTGCCCTACATCATATTTGTAAACTTATTTTCCCTCTTTTTCTTAAATATGTATTACCTATAACTAAACCCTTTCTATACAAAGTTCAATCAAAGGTTTCCCATTATCATTTACACCTGCACCCAAACTTACTACCACACCTCTCTAAAAGTTTTTCCTACTTTGCATTCGGGTCCCCTCCACAATTACTCTTCATTTGGGTTCAAAGCCCTATACTTTCCTTTAACATCTCCCAAAATCTCTCTCTCTCCTCTACATTCCTCTCTTCTCCAGGTGCATACACGCTTTTTATGACCACTTTTCGCTCCACCTTTACTTTAATCCACATAATTCTTGAATTTAACACATTCATATTCTCTTTTCTCCTTCCATAACTGATCATTCAACATTACTGCTACCCCTTCCTTAGCTCTAACTCTCTCAGATACTCCAGATATAATCCCATTTATTTCCCTCCACCGAAACTCCCCTACCCCCTTCAGCTTTGTTTCGCATAGGGCCAGGACATCCAACTTCTTTTTATTCACATAATGAATTTTTATTCAAACCAAAAAATAGATTTACTGTTATGCAATATTGTAATAATTGTATAAATATCACCACATTTGTGAATGTATATTAGACCCACCAGCTGGCGTGTATTAGACGTGTGAGGTCGTTTGTTTACTCTTGGACATTGACAAAAATTTAACATTTCTGCTACTTTGAGCTCGGTTTCAAGCCATTTCCAGTGCTAAAACCCATCAAAATAGTCTCTATTTCTGTAATATATCTTCCATTCTATCAAATGAGACCAAGAAATTGCAAATACAACTATAAAAAACATACGAAAAAACACTGCAAAGTCGCTGTTTTAAGAAAAAATCACGGTCTCAGTTTTTTCTCATTATACACTGTGTGCTGCAGGATTTGTTATATGTGGTGCACACATACCACATAGATGTATTCTCTCATATCTAGGCAAAAATTTACCACTCACAGCTTATCAGAGTGAGCTGAGCTTTTGGCGTAGATCTACAGTTTGGACCTTAAACGTAAAGCTGTAGATCTACGGCACGGACCCTGAAAGGGTTAATATGTTTCCACCTTCCTGAACTTATTCTGAGGTTTTATTAAGTACTCAGGTTCACCTTTGGTGGTAAAACATTATTGTGTTACAGTAACTGCTATTATGGCTTGCTTACATACAGGTCTGTCACTGATGCAGACTGTAGTATCCACTGCAATGGCACATAAAAAAAAATTAGTAACATTGTTTCTTTAGAAATACTATATTTAATGCAATGGCTTGGACATACAGCAGGCATGTGTCATGGTGTTGGATAGGAGTAGAGACAAATTGCTTTTGGAACTGATGAACTGTTGGAGTGTAAGAAAGGTAATATTTTGTGAAGGGATTCAGGTAAACTGGTCAGCTGGAGAGTCCTGGTGGTGGGAAGTACAGTGCCTGCACTCTCAAGGAGATGTCTGGAATACCTGCAGTATAGAGGGACATATAAAGTGTCATATCTGCATGCCCCTGGCAATACAGTGATAATGTAAATAATGGTGATGATAGTATTTCTTTTACAGGTCACCTTGACTCAGTGTGAGATGGCCAGCAGAAAAAAAAAAAAGGCTAAATTAACATAATATAAAACTCACTTGAGTCCTGGAAATGGGAAGTACAATGCCTGCACTCTAAAGGAGGGGTTCAGAATATTGACGATTTGGAGGGATATGTTGTGTACCTTTATACGTATATGCTTCTAAGCTGTTGTGTTCTGAGCACCTCTGCAAAAACAGTAATTGTGTGTGAGTGAGGTGAAAGAGTTGAATGATGATGAAAGTATTTTCTTTTTGGGGATTTTCTTTTTGGGTCACCCTCCCTCGGTGGGAGACTGCCGACTTGTTAAAAAAAAACTCACCTGTCTCTCTCTCTATCTCTTCTATCTCTGTCCTTGGAATTAGAGCTTCTGTAACTCCTTTCTCTGCTGCGAGAGCGTCTACGGTCTCTGCTGCGAGAACGTCTCCTGTCTCTGCGGTCGCGGTCTCTATCACGATCCCTCATTCTATCACGATCTCTGTCTCGACTGAGATCTCTCCTTTCCCTTTCACGGCTAGAAAGAGATAAACCTCATTTTTATTATGATAGTACAAGCATTGGATATTTTTGATGCTACTAGTATCAGTTTAAAATTGAGTATCAATATTGCCTAATTTTGTGGGTACATATTTGAATTAGCTTAAAATTAAGTACTGGAATCGGTAAACATTTTGCTATTGTCCAATCACTACCTATGAGCACAAAGTAAGGTTTCCCTGCAGGAGCAACTGGGCAATCAGTATCTGATGGTGACAGGAGCTAAAATTCCAGCCCTCTGCCCTCTAATTTTGGTAACTAGAAAAGGAGGTAGGTGGCAGCATAAAATTTAGTCAATACCAAGAGAAAATCCACATGTAAACAGCAACCATCCAGGAAGGTACAGTATTCCTTTATTGTTATCCATGTGTGAAGTGGAAACTTGTTAAAAAAATTTCAATTTAGCAGGATTCTGCACCCCCCTTTTTTTTTCTTTTGTCATGAGCATTTATGATGGCCCTCCAAACTGCAAATATCTCCACCCCCTCCTTCAGAGAACAAGCATTATACTTCCCAAATCTGGCTAACCCACTTCCCTGAATCCCTTTACAAAGTGATACCTTGCTCACACTCCAACTTGTCAGATCCCAAAAACCATTTGCCTACACTCATTCCTATTTAGCACACACACGTCTGTTGGATGTCCAATCCCCTCCATCCAACCTTTCCTTGGATGACCCCTACCCCACCTTCTCTCCGTTACAGATTTATACACCCTCCAAGCTCTCTGGATAACACTTTTAAGAACCTCGCACCTCCTCCTAAACTCCAAACTATGAATTCTCTGCACAATATTCACACCACACATTGCCCTTACACATCCCAACTACCTCCAGCCCCTAACATTTAATACCCATGCTTTACATCCATAAGAGTTTGGGTACTACTATACTCTGATACATTCTCTTTTGTTGCCTCCATGGATAATGATCTTGTCTTCACAGATGCTCACTAAACTGCCCAGCTTGTTCCCCTCTTCAATTCTATGGTTCACTTCAGCATTCACAGACTCACTCACTGACAAATCCACTCCCAAATACGTATCTGAACACACTCACTTCCTCCATACTTCTTCCTAGTCCGATATCCAATCTTATATTACCTAAATTTTTTTTTGTTACTCTCGGCATCTTGCTCTTTCTTAAGTTTGCTTTTAATTTCCTTCTTTTACATACCCTTCCAAACCCGTCCACTAACCTCTGCAACATCTTTTCAGAATCTTCCAAAGGAACTGTCTCCTCAGCAAAAAGCAACTGTGACAACTCCCAATTTGTATATGATTCTTTATCTTTGAACCCTTAAACTGTCCAAACGTAGGTCTACGTTAGCACTGCTAGCACTCCAAATGTAGATCAGTGTTTTGTATTTCCTGCCTCCAAATTTGGTACGATTAGCCTGAGATGCCTGATTAGTACAGAATGGGTCTTAACACTTGGTGTGCGCATGTTGATAAAAAAAACGGGGACCACTTAGTACCTTGTGGGAGCACCAGTTCAATTGAGTGTCAGCTAGAGCAATTAGCATGGCAAATACTAGGGATTCACTGATGTCGTGTTGTATTAACACTCCACTTTTAAGAGGAAAGTGATGTTGACACAGAGTTTAATGGCTCTGAGATTAATGTGGCCACAAGTGGTCGAGGAAATATCAAAAAACCTCGATAATAACCCATGAGCAACATTTGTGTAGCATCCTTTCATTTTCGATACCACTGGTAGTGTCATCATACCAGAATGTCCTATAACCTATGCCCTACGTAAAGAGAAACAATTCTGGAACGTGTAATATGTATTTGGCTGGCTGGCAGGCTGGCTGACTTTGGCTGTCTCTCACAGGAACACATAAGTAGTTATACATAGTGTATATTGCCTAGGATAACCCAAAAATTCCAGGCAGTGCTATGCAGGGCTTGTAGATACAAGGCATAATAAGCATGACTGGCAAGTTATACGCATTTTCACTTGATCAGGAATCAGATGTGACAAATGCATCGTGTGTAATACCTATTGATTTAAGAGTTGCTCTCTGAGACAGAGAGAAACAGACGGAAAAACAAACAAGCACACACAGGCAGACAGAAAAACATAAGCAGAGCTAGACAGACATACATACATGTTTGTGTGTAACAGTGAAAACAAATAAAGTCAAAGTTTCCTAGAGCAGTGCACATTCAAGTATCACTCCACTGCTGCAATGTCAGCAGTTTAGTGACACTCATCTTAACACCATGCTTCAAAGAGTTTCATATATACTCCGGTATGTCTAAAACATTGCTGAGACCTATAAATACTTTGTATATATTTCTAGACAATAGTAAATGACCAAGGCAGGTGAAAATGTTCACCGTCAGTGTGTTTGTGGCTATCTGAGTACTATTTCAGTACCTAATATTAGTGTCAGAACAAAGGTTGGCTATGAAATCACAAGAGCTATTATAAATTGTAATTATCAGAACATAAAAAAGCAGGGGGGGAGGGGACAGTGTTGGAATGGTTGATATTTTTGTTTAATAAATGTATAAAATTAAATGGATAAAATTAAATTATACTGGTCGCTGTTGCCCAGCGGTGAGAGTAGCGACTCTCATTGCTGAGGTCCAGGTAATAAATTATGGCGTGCATGAGCGTGTTCAATAGGAGTGAATGGAGACGAATGGTATTTGGGACCTGACGATCTGTTGGAGAGTGAGCAGGGTAATATTTAGTGAAGGGATTCAGAGAAACTGGTTATTTTTGTATAGCTGGACTTGAGTCCTGGAAATGGGAAGCACAATGCCTGCACTCTAAAGAAGGGGTTCGGCATATTAGCAGTTTGGAGGGATAAGTTGTGGATCTTTGTACGTATATGCTTCTAAACTGTTCTGTTCTAAGCACCTCTGCAAAAACAGTGATTATGTGTAAGTGCAGTGAAAGTGTTGAATGATGATAAAAGTATTTTCTTTTTGGGGATTTTCTTTCTTTTTGGGTCACCCTGCCTCGGTGGGAGACGGCCGACTTGTTAAAAAAAAAAAAAATGTATAAAACAGGGGAAGGTACCTAGGGATTGGCGGAGAGCGTGTATAGTCCCATTATATTAAGGGAACGGGGACAAAAGAGATTGTAAAAATTACAGAGGAATAAGTTTACTGAGTATACCAGGAAAAGCTTACGGAAGGGTTATAATTGAAAGAATTAGAGGTGAGACAGAATGTAGAATTGCAGATGAGCAAGGAGGTTTTAGAGTGCGTAGGGGATGTGTAGAACAAGTGTTTACATTAAAGCATATATGTGAGCAGTATTTAGATAAAGGTAGGGAAGTTTTTATTGCATTTATGGATTTAGAAAATGCATATGATAGAGTGGATAGGGAAGCAATGTGGCAGACGTTGCAAGTATATGAAATAGGTGTTAAGTTACTAAATACTGTAAAGTTTTTTTTTGAGGAGAGTAAGGCTCAGTTTAGAGTGTGTAGAAGAGAGGGAGACTATTTCCCAGTAAAAGTAGGTCTTAGATAGGGATGTGTAATGTCACCATGGTTGTTTAATATATTCATAGATGGGGTTGTAAAAGAAGTGAATGCTAGGGTGTTCGGGAGAGGGGTGGGATTAAATTATGGGGAATTAAATACAAAATGGGAAGTGACACAGTTACTTTTTGCTGATGATACTGTGCTTATGGGAGATTCTAAAGAAAAATTACAAAGGTTAGTGGACAAATTTGGTAGTGTGTGTAAAGGTAGAAAGTTGAAAGTGAACCTAGAAAAGAGTAAGGTGATGAGAGTATCAAATGATTTAGATAAAGAAAAATTGGATATCAAATTGGGGAGTAGTAGTATGGAAGAAGTGAATGTTTTCAGATATTTGGGAGTTGACGTGTCAGCGGATGAATTTATGAAGGATGAGGTTAACCATAGAACTGATGAAGGAAAAAAGGTGAGTGGTGCATTGAGGTATATGTGGAGGCAAAAAAATTTATCTATGGAGACAAAGAAGGGAATGCATGAAAGTATAGTAGTACCAACACTCTCATATGGGTGTGAAGCTTGGGTTGCAAATGCTGCAGCAAGGAGGCAGTTGGAGGCAGTGGAGATGTCCTGTCTAAGGGCAATGTGCGGTGTAAATATTATGCAGAAAATTTGGAGTGTGAAAATTAGGTGTGGAATTAATAAAAGTATTAGTCAGAGAGCTGAAGAGGGTTTGTTGAGGTGGTTTGGTCATTTAGAGAGAATGGATCAAAGTAGAATGACATGGAGAGCATATAAATCTTTAGGGGAAGGAAGGCGGGGTAGGGGGTCATCCTCGAAAAGGTTGGAGGGAGGGGGTAAAGGTGTTGTTGTGGGCGAGGGGTTTGGGCTTCCAGCAAGCGTGCGTGAGCGTGTTAGATAGGAGTGAATGGAGACAAATGGTATTTGGGACCTGACGAGCTGTTGGAGTGTGAGCAGGGTAATATTTAGTGAAGGGATTCAGGAAAACCAGTTATTTTATATAACTGGACTTGAGTCCTGGAAATGGGAAGTACAATGCCTGCACTCTAAAAGAGGGGTTTGAGATATTGGCAGTTTGGAGGGATATATTGTGTATTTTTATACGTATATATACTTCTAAACTGTTGTATTCTGGGCACCTCTGCAAAAACAGTGATTATGTGTGAGTGAGGTAAAAGTGTTGAATGATGATGAAAATATTTTCTTCTTGGGGATTTTCTTTCTTTTTGGGTCACCCTGCCTTGGTGGGAGACAGCAGACTTGTTGGAAAAAAAACAAAAAAAAATTACACAAATCAAAATAATAATGAGGAACAAAGGTATATCGGCAACACTTCTGCAAGCGGCAGGACTCAATGTTGCCGTCAGGTAAGCATCCAACGCCAACTTCGTGGGCTTATATTTTGGTAAGTACTGATCCTAATTTTGTTTTTATCTTATAAAGAGTAGAATAATGTCCTCTTCATTTAATTTTTTTTTTTTCAAAATATTCAAAGTGCTGGGCGAGTGAACGTAGATATCTACATTTATGGTGACATCACGCAACTGTCTGAAGAATACTTACCAGAAAATAATTTCCTTCTCTTCTACGTAAACTAACCTGAACCTCTCTTTCCTCACAAACTCTTAACTAATTTAAATAACTTACCACCTATTCCATACACTTGCAACATCTACCACGATGCTTCCCTATCCACCCCACCACATGCCTTGTTTAAATCCATATTTGCAATATTAAGTTCCTTCTCTCTATTTAAATACTGTTCACTTAAATGCTTCAATGTAAACACATGGTCTTGACGTCCCCAATCATTCCTTTAACCCCCTTATTCATCTGCAATCCTGCTCTGTCTTACCTTTAATTCTTTCAATAATAACTACCACACACTTTACCTGTTATACTCAACAGGTTTATTTCAAAACGATTCTTGCACTTTTAGCCCCTTTTCTTTCAAACAAACTATGCGTGCACACTGACAATCCCAAGGTACCTTTCCCCTTTTACATATTTACTGAACAAAATCACCAACCAATCCAAATCTATATCACCACCTGCTTTTAAAATTACATCTTGATCCCATTCTAGGTAGTAGGTTGGTAGACAGCAACTGCCTTGGGAGACACTACTGTCCTGCCAAGTGAGTGTAAAACAGAAGCCTGTAATTGTTTTACATGATGGTAGGATTACTGGTGTCCTTTTTTCTGTCTCAAACATGAAAGATTTCAGGTACCTTTTGCTACTTCTCCTTACACTCACTTCACACTACACATACATGTACAAGCATATATATACACACATCCCTCTGGGTTTTCTTCTTTTTTCTTTCTAGTTGTTCTTCTTTATTTCCTCTTATCTCCATGGGGAAGTGGAACAGAATTCTTCCTCTGTAATCCATGCTTGTTGTAAGAGGCGACTAAAATGCCGAAAGCAAGGGGCTAGTAACCCCTTCTCCAGTATAAATTACTAAATTTAAAGAGAGAAACTTTAGTTTTTCTTTTTGGGCCACCCCGCCTCGGTGGGATACGGCCAGTTTGTTGAAAGAAAAGAAAGATCTTGATCCCATCAATCCTAGCTTCTTTAACCTGTTCATTCTACCCACTGCCTCATGCACATCCCACATGCTCACATCTGGCTCTTCCTCACTCTTGAGATGTTACACCTCCCTACCCAATACATGAAATCAATGCCTCCCTTTCTTCAAAATTTAACAGCTTCTCAAAATATTCCTTCCATCTTCCCAATACCTCCACCTCCCTATCTAATTTGCACTCCCTTTATCTTTTCAACTCCTTCACCAATCTCTTAACCTCTCTTTTACTCTCAATATATTCCACCCTCCTTGCATTACTTCCATTTTGTAACAACACCTGACACTAGCTTTTTCTCCTTTATCACTCAACTTCATCATTCCACAAATCACCCTTCTTCTTTTCTGTACCCACCCACCTATACCCACAAACTTCCGCTACATATACAAACGCTGTACTCTTATATCTATCCCATACCTCTGACCTCATTACCTATACTCTCAATGGCTCATCTCTCACCCAACAGTTCCTTATATCTTACCCTAACTTCCTCTAGGCCAGAGGGTGGCATGGACCTGCTTAGCATGGGTCAGTAGGCCTACTGCAGTGTTCCTTCTTTATGTTCTTAATTTATAAACTTTTACTTCTCTCACTGATAACATTCTCTTTGTACCCCATCTACCTCTTACTCTGTGTAGCTACAATTAAATAATGATCCAATAAAAAACACATATTCAAAAGTCCACCAATCAACCTTCTTTTCATTTGATGGCTCTGGATCATTTTGAGTTCCTTTTTCCCATAGCTAAGTAAATGAAGTCTGTCACTATTGAACATTAAAAAAATTTTACTCGCCCATTAGAAAACTTTGGGAAACCATAACAAAAATTCCAACAAACACGTACTTGCCAACAAAGTAAGAAATAATACCAATTTAAAAAATGAGTACTTAACACAATAGTGTTAAATGATAATACTGTATCCAATAAGGACTTAGAGAGGCATAAACTGTAATAATTACCTTATGCGCCTTCTTTCTTCTTCTTTCTTCCGTCTATCTTCTCTTTCCCTTTCCTTGCGTTTCTCTTCTTCTAACAATGCTTTACGTCTCTCATCTCGTTCCTTTTCACGAAGTAATTCTCGATCAGTTCTTGCCTTATCTCGACTCTGTTGAATCTTCCAAGAATCAAAATTGTATTTCACACACACACACACACAAAAAAAAAAAAAAAAAAAAAAAATTAGCCTCCATAACGAAGTGTCAACAAACAACGTTACCAGTACCGAGACAACCTGGGAAAGCAAGCTAACTTAAACCTGTACAACACACACTGTCGTCCAATAACCAAACAAATCTCAATCAAAAGACTGGACAACCCTTGGCTCACTGGCAGCATGTTTAGATAAACTGACAAGAAACACGACTAAGTATCAGACACTCTAACACCAGTTAATCATGTAGTTAAAATTCTACTATTAAACCAAATTAAAAACCCACTTTCCAAAAAAAGACAACCCTACCGTCTCAGGAAGCTACAGGTCCTGTTTTAGAAAACAAAAGACTGGTACCCTCTGAGGTAATTCCAACTTAAAACACCCTTGCTTATGTCCTTGCTTTTATGACCATGCAACCGAATCCCAGGAATGAAACCTAAATTAATAACCATAGAATATAATGGCTTAACATGCAAGGACACAACTAACAATGGCTGTCATAGAAACAATCAGGTTTTAGTACCCCAGAACAAATTACCAACCAATTAATTTTTTTTTAGTATTGCCACACATTTTCACATTGCTCTACCGAATTTCAGGCTTTCCTAAACTTTTAAGATCCGTGCTTAACCCTTTCATGGTCCAAGGCCAAAATCGGAAGGGGTAACACCAGTGTCCAAGAAATTTTTGAAGAAAAAAAAAAAAAAAAAAAAAAAAAAAAAAAAAAAAAAAAAAAAAAAAATCTTGCAGAATTAAAGACTATTTTTGTGAAGGTAATAAAACAAACAAACAAATTTTCTGATCAGTACTTACCGAGGGAAGTTGACCCAAAATGACCGGGTGGCGGCAACATCAGTGACTTCCGCAAAAATTTACGTTTTTATACTTTTTTCTTTTCTTTTCTAATTTTTTTCTTTTTCTAGTAACATTTGTGACCTGTGAGACCAATATAATGTATATTGTGTAAGTGTACACTCATTGTATTCAACACAATAACTGCACTAATTTGTTTATTACATTGCTTACAAAACTTTACAAGTTTATTGTAAATAAAATGACGAAAATATTAGTGCAGTTATTGTGTTAAATACAATTGTACAATATAGTACCATATGGTACAATGGTGCCATAGGGTGCAATGGTACCATGTAGTACAATTGTACATATGGTACAATGGCACCATATGGTACTATGGCACATGATACAATGGTACCATATACTACAATAGCACCATTTGGTACAATGGTACCATATACAATGGTACCATATTGTGCAATGGTACCTAATGGTACCATATGGTGCAATGGTACCTTATGGTACTATATGGTGCAATGGTACCACATGGTACATTGTACCATATGGTACCGTTGTATTCAACGCAATAAACACACTAATATTTTCATCATTATTTTGTTTACAATAATTGTTTACAACAAAAATATGCAAAAATGTTGTATATTAGTAATGTTCTACTATATATTTACAAATGTACAGGGACTCGACATGTTCCTTGAGGTGGATGACAAAGTGCTTTGTCTCGGAAACTGCAGTCAGTAGCTAGCTTGCATTGCCACTCACTCAAGTCTTGGCTGGTCTCTCCTGCCACCAACACCTACTGACCATATGGTACATGGTATCATATGTTAAAGGGTACCATATGGTACATTGTATTATATGGTATAGGGTACCATGCAGAACAGGATAACATATTGTGCAGGGTACCATATGGCACAGGGTACCATATGGCACAGGGTACCATACAGTACAGGACACCATATGGTACAGATACAGGGATCCCTATGGAAATAAGTCACCCTGACTTTTTTGGGTTATCCTAGGATTTTACACATATGCTGCTATGTATGATAATCTATGTAATTGTATTTCTGTACACCTGAATAAACTTACTCAAGTGCATGTGGCATCATAAGTAAGTTTATTTAGGTATACACAAAGTTACACAGAATATCATACTTAGCAGCACATGTTTGGAGAACCTAGGATAACCCAAAAAAGTCAGACAGACTTATTTCCATTAGGGTCCCTGTACCATATGGTATAATGTACCATATGGTACAATGTACTATATGGTGCATGTGCCATATGGTACCATTGTGCCATATGGTACCATTGTGCCATATGGTACCACTGTGCCATATGGTACCATTGTACCATATGATACCACTGTATGACATGGCATCATTGTACCATATGGTACCATTGTACCATATGGTACAATGGTACCATATGGTTCAAAACCATAGAATTCTTCTTCAGCTCCGCTTCCATCAGTCTTAGAACTGTAAGTTGTGAAGAGGAGAGTCAGAATTCAGCCAGAGTGTGAGTGGGGAGTGAGAGCTTCCTTGCCTCAGGCATGGCGAACAAAGCTACTTTACCAGCGTTCCCACAATGTCATGCGGGCCTCCAGATTTTTTCTATAGTGTGCACACTGACCACCCAGACCCATTCTCTCAGATGTAGGCCTACCAGCCTTCTCGCGCTAAATTTGATGCCGCTAGAATTTTGGCATAGATCTACGGTTTGGACCCTGAAAGTAAAGCCGTAGATCTACGGGACAGACCCTGAAAGGGTTAAAATAAGCACATATTATGCAACCCATTTTCCAATCTGCATTAAGATATTCACCACATGTAATATATTTTTTTTAACACATTTGCCATTTCCCACTGAGGCAGGATGACCCAAATGGAAAGAATAACCCAAAAAGAAAGCAAAAACTTTCATCATCTTTCCAACACTTTCACCATCATTCATATATAATCACTCTCTTTGTAGAGGCACTCAGATACGACAGTTTAGATGTCCCTCCAGACAGCCAATATCCCAAACCCCTCCTTGCAAGTGCAGGCATTGTACTTCCCACCTCCAAGACTCAAGTCCAACTAACCAGTTTCCCTGAATCCCTTCAAAAAATATTACCCTACTCAAACACCTAAATGTAGAGAATCATTTATTTGAGTACACAAATAACCTGCATATAGGAGACAAACTTACAACAATGTTTCGAACTAACATGGACCATCAACAAGTATGACTAGTTAATGGTCCAAGTCGGACCGAAACACGTTTCAGTCTTCCATTTGCAAGATATTGTGTATTGCTCTAATCACAATATTGTCATTTTATTCTTCTTTATTCAAATAATGTGTAATTCTTGCTAATACATGTACACACAGATGACTGACAAATAAAACACAACATTCATTTTATATTTATGGAGAAGCACAAAACTCAAAGGAGTCTTAATGTGTATGGGGAATGGGAGGTATTTCCAGTTCCTTGGACCAGGAACCTTTCACCAGTATAAGGAAAATCCCCTTCTAAGATCTATATTCATAACTTTTCTGTTTTCTCTGAAGATGTTGAAGACCCCCTTAAAAGAACAAAATATACCAAAACACTGAACCAAGATAATATTTCACAGGAAACAAACTACAAACACAAAATATTAAAATATAACTACTTCCCTAATAACCAATTCCCAATTCTGACTTACTAAGATAAAAGAGATGGTGACGAAGCCTCTTGATTTAAAAAGTAAATTCCAAGATAATTACAAATTTTCCTTACATATAACATGCATGTTACTGTATTATTTCTTAAATGGATAAAAAGCACATTTAAGAAATCCAGTGTTATACAGTATTAGCATGAACACAGAAGGGGACTTACATCTCTGATCTCCTGGATGGCTTGGCGAAGCCTAGCAAATCCGACATGCTGTTTACCGGTCAGGTGGTCATCAATCCGCTGCTGAGCATCACCTACGATTAGAAATGCACCACACACTTCACACACCTCCATCTGTTTCTCCTGAGATGCTGCCATCTCTGCAGCCTGTTGGTCATAGATGAAAAAGTGAAAACTACGGTTCATCTCCACCAAAACAAATAAAAGGGAGGCAATCATGGCTACATTAATAGTTAAAAGGAACCAATTGATTTCATTGAAAATGTTAAAGTTGTATTAATAATGTAATACGTACATGTTAAATCTAAAATTTTATTTCAATGAAAGTTTTAAACACCTGAATATCACTAACTCTCATTGAAATATCTATCAATATATAAGATAACAGTTTTGAAAACATGTTTTTTATTAAGAGAGTTCAGCCTGATTGGTTTGTTTATTCAGTAAAGTACAATGTATAAAAATAATCCCATGCCAAATATGCCAAGTGAACCAAACAAGCCAAACTATTAATATTAAGATCTCGCGTATTGATAGGTAAATACGGTGTGTGTTTGTGTTACAAACACTGGCCTTATGCTGACAGGTAAACACAGTGAAATAGTTCCTTTTGTTGTTGGTCACCATTTTTATTTCGCTTCAGGGAAATAAACCAAGTGTTTTAATTCCGATTTTAATAAATCTATATTTGAATATTAGTTCTGAGAGATAGGTGAGACAAGGTTCATCTAGCATATGGGAATCTTTATTTCAGATTTATAATTTCGCACACAGTTTCATACTTTAAATACGTAGTACAAAAGAAAGGCTAGAGGAGGAGGTTTGTAGACACTAGTCATCTCCATAGCGATATTAAAGACATACTAGTTCATGTAGGTTGTGAAAAAGCCAGGGAAGTAACGTCGGCTTATAATACGAAGTGTATTGTTATGAGTTAATGAACGAGGCGGATCTTAGTGGTCACCATCACAGCAGATCGTACAGGTAGTCTTGTCCTCAAGGTTGAACAGCGTTGAAAATTCTTTAAACAGATCCCTGGCTCAGTGTCTGACATTGTTGATAATGTTTTGTAAAAACCCTAAGTGGGAGTTGAGACATTAGAGCATTATGGTAACTTATTCGTTGAAACGGTTCGCCACACAATGCTCAGCAGTCCAATGACAAAGACTATGCGTAATGAGAGGAGTAGAAGGTAACATTCCCTTCCCTTTTGGCGACTGCTTTCGTGCCATCAATGCTTGTGTGAATGTACAGCAATAAGGACTGTTTAGTGGCTTAATATATTTGAATAGCAACTACTTGAAAGTCAATGGACAATCTCATGAAGTGGTTACCATTTCACTAGTCGAAGTAGTCTTTGTCCAAAGTTTGATAGCAAGCTTGAAAGTATCTTTGTAAGAAGATCCCATGATGCTAGCAGTGTGACAGTTGTGATCGAATGGGTTGAAAGAACGCGCATGGAGATTGAGACAATGCAGATAGGGAACTTTATCATGGACTGTTCACCACACAGTGGCTTCATCAGTCCATACAAAGAGGAAGGCGTAAGGAAGGCAGGAGTATGAGGTAATCAGTCCCTCAGCCTGGAGTCGATGTGTTCAGTCCATCAATCTTGTAGAATGTACAGCATAGGGCCGTAGACGTGCTTATATACTTGTATTGGACTGATGAAGCCACTGTGTGGCGAAACGTTTCCTGAATAAAGATTCCCATATGCTGCATAAGTGTCTCAATCTCCAACTTGTCGGTTTTTCAAACCATTCATCACAACTGTCAGACACTGCAGCATCATGGGATCTTCTTACAAAGAATTCTTCAACGCTTTTTCAACCTTGACAAAGACCTACTTCGACTAGTGGATGGTACCACTATGAATCCGCCTCCGTCTGCTTCAAGTCACCTCACTACAGTATATAAGCCACGTCTACGGCCCTATGCTGTACATTCTACAAGATTGATGGACTGAACACATCGACTCCAGGCTGAGGGACTGATTACCTCATACTCCTCCTCTCCTTACGCCTTCCTCTTTGTATTGGACTGATGAAGCCACTGTGTGGCGAAACGTTTCCTGAATAAAGATTCCCATATGCTGCATAAGTGTCTCAATCTCCAACTTGTCGGTTTTTCAAACCATTCATCACAAGTCCTCTCGTACTTTGTAACTAAATTAGATATTAATTATGTTAGACATTTAGTCTAGAAGGAAGCACCTAGGGTGTACCAAGGTTCAACTTATGACGATTTTTGACACTTCTTCCTGATCTTTATTCAATTTGTATACTCTCTTTTCATACTTAGTAAATACGTAGGTAACACATTAAAATCCCATACTCATAGGGAGGTTATGTGACACCTTGTGATACTTCACATACGATGAATTTTAAAGAACATAACTATGTTTATCTAGGTAGTAGGTTGGTAGACAACAACCGCCCAGGGAAGTACTACCGTCCTGCCAAGTGAGTGTAAAACGAAAGCCTGTAATTGTTTTACATGATGGTATTATTGCTGGTGTCTTTTTTCTGTCTCATAAACATGCAAGATTTCAGGTACGTCTTGCTACTTCTTCTTACACTTAGGTCATACTACACATACATATACACACATCCCTCTGGGTTTTCTTCTATTTTCTTTCTAGTTCTTATTCTTGTTTATTTCCTCTTATCTCCATGGGGAAGTGGAATAGAATTCTTCCTCCATAAGCCATGCGTGTTGTAAGAGGCGACTAAAATGCCGGGAGCAAGGGGCTAGTAACCTCTTCTCCTGTATATATTACTAAATGTAAAAGGAGAAACTTTCGTTTTTCCTTTTGGGCCACCCTGCCTTTGTGGGATACGGCCGGTGTGTTGAAAGAAAGAAGAAGAACTATGTTTATGTTCATACAAATATTTAAATAGCCAAACTCCAAACAATCCATCAATAGTGACAATCCCGTACGGAAAGGAAAACTAGTTACTTACTTTCGAGAAACAACAATCTCTTACAGGGATTACTTAAGCTAGCAACCTCTCAGATTAATAGTCAATCGTCTCATGCAAGAGATTTTGAATTCTACAGAAAAGTAACTACGTAACCGAGTGCTAGAGAGAGCTATGCGCTCTGGGCTGAGAACCTGAACCTGCTCAGAAGAGTGTATGAGCCTACTGCTTGTGTCAGCGACCAGTAACTCTCACGTCAGGTTGGTCACGTGACAAGCTTTGACTCCAGCTGGTAGCATAACTAGCGGCCGGGCTTTTAACTAGCAATTCCATCGTCTTTCTCTATTACTATACATACATAAATATTAGCATTAACCATAAATATTTGCATTAACATACATATAAAATTAAAGAGTAATAAATGTCGGGCATAACCCGCAACAGTGTGAATTAACAAAATAGATCTTTGAAATTTGTCCATAATCAGAAACTGACTTATACTATTTCCAATGACAAGCTCCATACATTGAGAATGGATTATTTTTCTTTTCTGAAGTGAAATACTTGTCTTGTTTCATTAACTGAACTGCTAAAAGCAGAAAATAATTAAATGATGTCCGAAGTTCAGAGAGCAACTATTTTAGTGCACTGGCAATTACAAGTGCACCACTGATTTTCCAGAAGTGATAGCCCAGAACTTCGTTTTGTCTGGGCAAAATTACAAGGGCACCTGAAATTCACACTACTGCCATACTAGCTTACTGTGTGATCACTGATGATGCTGTGTAACACACACTCACCTATATTCTTTACACTACAAGTGGTGGTGGTGATCCCTTGATTATGTGCAATTCTTAACTTTATTTTGCTTACATTTAAACCCACCTATGGCAAATGTCACTGGTATAGTTGAAAAATTTGATAAAGTACTCAGTGTCCACACTTCTCAAAAAATAATAATAATAAAAATCTTCCGAAATCGCAGAGAATCTTTTGTTGAAGGCAATGACACCAAAAATACAAAATTTGATGGAAAATTTATGGAATTAAGGAGGTGTAAAGTTAGCATTCCAAGAGCATTTTACGCCTAAGCAATTTTGCCAAATTTGCACCTTATTTGAAGCCAATTCCATTTCTCTATTTCACCAAATTCTTAGCTATTTCATTAGTTTGTCTTCCATTCTATCGAATAACTACAAGAGACCACACATTTGACTATCAAAACTACCCTATAAACTGCACAGAACATGGTAATTTGGCCAATTTTACACAGAATTTAAACAATTATAATTTCTTAGTTTTTTTAACACGTTGACTGTTTCCCACTGAGGTTGGGTTACCCAAAAAGAAAAATATTCTAAATATTCTAAAATAAACATTTGTAGACATTCCAGGCAGTAAAACATTTCCTCTGTGCAATAATCATGTCCCCAAGCCTCTCCAATATTACACTAGCCTTCCATTTTGAATTCACAAAAAATTAAGATCTACCCTATTACTCGGATAATAAAATATAACTAAGAATACATTATGGTTTACAGCATCCCAATAAGTGAATCAGACCTATCAACCCTTTCACTGTCGACACCCCTGCTCACAAATTTGCTCTCAGTGTTGAAGAATTTAAAAAAAAAATTATTTTTCTTATGAAATGATAGAATCTTTTCAAGAGGGTAATGACATCAAAAGTACGAAATTTGATGGAAAACTTACGGAATTACAGTCTCACGAAGTTAGTGGTCTTGACGAAATTTATGCATTGGCAATTTTGCCCAATGTGAGAGCTATTTTCGGCTAAGTCCATTGTTCCAGTCGACCAAACTCATAGCTATTTCACTAGAACTCCTTTTATTCTATCGGCTGAGCACAAGAAACTGCCCATTTACTAATTTCAACTACCCAATAAAGTGATAAGAAGTTGGTAATTTGGCCAATTTCATATGCAATTCAAGGAAGGCCAATTTCAAAACAGAGTCCAAAACTAACACTGTAAACATTCCTACTAAAGTAACATTTTTCTCTGTTCATCAGTCATGTCTCCAGGCCCTTCTTATATTATGCTTGCTTTCCATTTTGAATTTTTATTCACAAAAAATAGATTTACCGTTATGCAGACTACTGCATTATTGTAAAAATGGTATAAATAATATCAAAGCATTTGTGAAAGCATATTAGACCCACCAGTCGATGTGTATTGAATGTGTGATACGATTTGTTTACTCTTGAATATCGGCAAAAATCAAACATTTCCACTATTTCAACCTCAATTTCAAGGTACTTTTTGTCCGTAAACCATTAAAAATCATCTCTAGTTCTGTAATATATCCTCCATTCTATCAAATGAGACAAAGAAAACGAGAATACACCCATAAATACCATATGAAAATACACCGCAAAGTCGCTGTTTTAAACGAATAACACAGTCGGAGTTTTTTCTCATTATGCACTGCGTGCTGCAGGATGTTTTTTATACGGCGCACACTGACCACTCACACCCATTCGCTCATATGTAGGCCTACCAGCTTCCTCCCGCAAGAATGGAAGCCGCTAGAATTTTGGCATACTATTATGGGACCGAAAGTGAAAGGGTTAATACCCATGAAACAGAGGGTGCAGAGGAGGCCTTTCCTGTCCTCAGGAATGTTGGCAAAAATAGAATACTTCTGCTACTTTCAGGCCATTTCTAACTACTTCTGGTCCTGGAAACAACTAAAAATCATCTCCATTTTAGATTATGCTTTTCATACTATCAATGATGCCAAGAAATAGCCAATAAAAACATAAAAACCATCCTAGCAAAAGCCTCAAATTTGCTATTTTAAATCAAAACCAAGGTCAGTTTTGTTTTTCCCATTATACATCATGAGGCAGGATTATTTTTATGCTGTGTACACTCACCACAGACCCATTCTCACATATCTTGGCCAAAATTTATTGCTCACAGCAGAGTTGCACTCACAACACAGATCTACGTGAGGGACCCTGGTGTCAATGACAGTTCGACATGACAGATGAATTAATCAAAGGGATAGAACCACATATCTTCGAGAGGGAACAACTAATAAATCTTTTTGATGTATGAAAAATCACAGGGAAAGATCGAAGCACATCAAACAACTTCACTTGGATGAAATCTTGAGAGATTACTGTAGCTCCATAGTTCCAGTAAAATTCTAAAATCCGTCAATTTGGGAGTAGTGGTACTGTAACATTCCAATTAGAATACAGTAATTAATAAACCATGGAACTTTAGTCATAGGAATATAATTAGCATGTCAGAGGTGTATTGATGAATTACATCACGTAATATTATTTGATCTCTGTTGGTCTGTCAAAATGGATAATCCGGCAAAGCTTTAAAACCAAGGGTGCCCGAAAATCAGTGGTGTACTTTTACCAGGTATAAAAACAAACTTTCAAATTTTCTTAATTATAAAGAACTTCATACAGTATCTTCAAACTATTCATTCAGTTGTTCTGAACATTCTACATTAAAAAAAAATACACCTACCATCCGACTTACGACCGAGTTCGGTTCCGAGAAACCGGTCGTAAGTCGAAATGGACACAAGTCGAACTTTACTACTGAATATCAACATAACATTTTTGTAATGATTATTTTATTGTTTTATGTTGGTATTTCATGTTTTACTTTACTTTTTATGCTGTTAGTACTGTACTTTATACTGTAAGGTTTAGGATAAACACTGTGTACAACACAAACACTTGTTTATTTCCCAGAAATTTGGCATAAAAAACACGGTCGTAAGTCGAGTCGTCGTATGTCAAGCAGGTCGTAAGTCGGATGGTAGGTGTACATAGAAAGGTTTGACAAAAAAATTAGGGCCAGTATACAAGAATTAAAAATATCTACTGAAAAGCAAGTGGGTGGTAAAAATTCTTGATTTTACTATTATAATTATCATAGTAATGGGAAAGCACTAAACCCATAAGGTTCACACAATGCCTGAGAAATGGTACTTAAATTTGATCCAAGAGATGGATATTTCTATTTCCTAAATAAAAAAAAAACCTTCACCAGCATCAAGGCACCCTTTGAAGGGTCTTAGTAGATAGACAATGTGTGATGAGAAGCTCTGAGCCAAGACCTAAACCTTATAACCCAACAGTAATAAATACAACTATTAAAACAGTACAGTAAGCCTATTAACAAAAATAACTGTCATTAAAGTAACTTCACCTGATGCCACACTGAATTCTCACTACTTCGACGAAGCTGATCTCTTTCTTCACGTAGCTGATCACAGAGTTTTAGTAAACCCTGTGCTTCTTCGACATTTCCTTCACATCCTAAACGTTCGGCTTCACTGACCAATCCTGTTATTCTCTCAGAGAGAAGTTCCAGTTGCTCATCAACCCGTCCATCACCTGTAGTGCTACTATCCTGCAAAATATTTTTATACACTAAGTGCTAATTAGACACTACTGATTTTTTTTATTATACTTTTATTTTTACCTCATGAACTTCTTCCCACAAAGGGCGACCCAAAGTAAAATGTTAACTTTTTTCATAAACAAAACATGTGCAAATCTGATATCTTCGTTGCCAAAATGTTCTGCCTGAACAGAAAATTTTCTGTGGTTAAATATAGGAAAATATAACACAGGAGACAACAGAAATAATTTTGAGATAACCAGACCCTCAGTTAGAGGAACTGACAGTGATCACGTCAAAATTACTTCTACAGTTTCCAGTATTATATTTACCTGAATTCAACTGAAGAAATCTGTTGCATAGGCAAAACATTTCAGCAATAGATATCCAAATGTTGCACATGTGTTTTATTCAACAACTTGTCAGCACAGTATTATATACTGGACCATCATATACAGTGGACCCCCAGGCTACGCCGTCGTCGTCGGGTTTCGTAATACGTATTCGGAATAAGTAAATTTTTTTGTCAAAATATTGGCTCGGTAATAGTCATTCATCCCAAATGCATCCACACGGCACCAGTGGCCCGACACTCAGTGTGCCATTGTTTACCAGCCAGTGAGCACGATCCCACGCACTCGTACGATAAATTTCGAATTATTCCATTTTTTTAGTGCTTGCAACTGCTAAACAAACCATTATGAGCCCAAAGAAAGCTCCTAGTGCCAGCCAGCCCTTTGGAAAAGGGCTGAGAGAGAGGGGAGAATGAGCCTTTTTCAGCGATTCTGCAATATGTACGATACTAAAGCAGCAGGAGTCGATAAAGGCTATAGCGCCAGCCAGCGATAAAGTGTAGCATTAACAGTGTAGCAAGTAAGTTAAGCAATTAATTGATAGAAAAAGGACAGCACGAAACTGACTCATCCATTGTTGTTGGAAGTATATAGGGCTACTGACCAACACCGCCGCCTCTGCTACCGCCTTCACCACCACTATGTAAGGCTTATCTTTCAATGGCCCTTATACACCTAACAACAAAACACACCACCACTCGTGACATTCTTAATGCCATATTTTACTCATTCTAGAGTATATATCATGTTTCTATTTTATTAATACTGTTTATTATGTCACATTAGATGAATTGTGCTAGGTAAAGGTAGAAACTTGAAAGTGAACATAGATAAGAGTAAGGTGATGAGGGTATCAAATGATTTAGATAAGGAAAAATTGGATATCACATTGGAGAGAAGGAGTATGGAAGAAGTGAATGTTTTCAGATATTTGGGAGTTGATGTGCCAGTGGGTGGGATTATGAAGGATGAGGTTAACCATAGAACTGACGAGGAAAAAAAAGGCAAGTGGTGCGTTGAGGTATATGTGGAGACAAAAAACGTTATCAATGGAGGCAAATAAGGGAATGTATTAAAGTATAGTGATACCAACACTCTTATATGGGTGTGAAGCTTGGGTTGTAAATCCTGCAGCAAGGAGGCAGTTGGAGACAGTGGAGATGTCCTATCTAAGGGCAATGTGTGGTGTAAATATTATGCAGAGAATTCAAAGTGTGGAAATTAGAAGGTGTGGAGTTAACAAAAGTATTAGTCAGAGGGCTGAAGAGTTGTTAGGTGGTTTGGTCATTTAGAGAGAATGGACCAAAGTACAATGACATGGAGAGCATGTAAATTTGTAGGGGAAGGAAGGCGGGGTTAGGGTCGTCCTTGAAAAGGTTGGAGGGAGAGGGTAAAGGAGGTTTTGTGGGCGAGGGGCTTGGACTTCCAGCAAGTGCACATGAGCGTGTTTGACAGGAGTGAATGGAGACGAATGGTTTCTGGGACCTACGATGCTGTTAGGAGTGTTGAGCAGGTAATCATTTAGTGAGGGATTCAGGAAGTTCCAGTTATTTTTTTAAACTGGACTTGAGTCGGTGAAAAGAGAAGTACATATGCATCACTTTAAAGGAGGGTATTGGGATACTGGCAGTTTAAGGATGTGTAACAGGACAGTATATATATATATAATTGGGGCCCTGATATTATATTCTATATGGTTTAGTTTATTATATTATTTCAGGTCACTTTTTATATTTTATCTTTATTTATGCTTCTAAACTGTTGTATCTGGGCACCTCTGCAAAAACAGTGATTATGCATGAGTGAGGTGAAAGTGTTGAATGACAATGAAATATTTTTTGTTTTGGGGATTTTCTTTCTTTTTGGGTCACCCTGGCTAGGTGGGAGACAGCCAACTTGTTGGGATAAAAAAAAAAAGCCGTAGAGCTGATAATAGTTTCATACTGAAGAACTATCTTGTCCTGTCTCCCAACACAATTCCTAACATACGCCAGAAACAGACCTCTCGAATATTTTTTTGAGCGACGGGTCCAGTGACTCAAGCTGGTCCTAGTGGCATTAAAAAATAAAGAAGGGAAGTAACCCGGGATAAGGACTTGGCACCCGAAGTCTTCATGGAAGGGGATTCCCCTTCAAAACAAATGTAAACTCCTCCATCCTCTCCCCTCCTCCCATCATCCATACATCACCATGTCTTCAATAAAGGTAAATGTGATGTTATTATTGTTTTATTCTTCATGTATCATAGTTTTCTGTGTAGGTAAATGTATATTTCATGTAGAAAACATATTTTTTAATACATTTTGGGTGTCTGAAACGGATTAATTGGATTTACATTATTTCTTACGGGGAAAATTAATTTGGAAATCGTCAGATTCAGGTTTAGTCACTCTCTCTGGAACGGATTAATTACAAAAACCAGGTGTCCACTGTACTATTTTTTTTTTGTATGACTATCAAATTACTGCTGCATTATGTTAAAAATGGTATAAAATACCGACAAGCTGATGATTAAGATACCTGTGCAACAGTTGGGTATCTTTACTGTTCAAACGTTTCGCCTACATGACAGTATCTTGGAACAGAGGGCATCTTCCACACATCATCACTAATTACAAATGAGAAGGGTTGGATTCCAGAGGGACCAGCCTTCTTACTTTTACTAGTGAATCCCATCCCTACAATGTCTCAGAGATCTTCCACCTCACCTTTGACAGTATTTTTAAGAATCCAATCTCATGCTTCAGCTTTATATCAATCCAAACCATAGAGCTGAACTCTTCTCTAGGCTGAGGGACTGACCACCTCATATACTATTTCTTCAAGGTTGATGTACTGATTACATCATCATTTCACTATTACATCTGCTGAATCTGTAGTTGACTGAAGAAGCCTACTATGTAGATAAAACATTTCAATAATCGAGATGCCCAACTGTTGCTCATGTTTCTTAATCATCTACTTCTAGATTAAATACTATAATACATTTGAAAATGCACCAAATACATTTGTTTACCTTAACTTTGCAATTATAAACCTCCTAGTATTAATGACATATTTCTGCATAGTACACTCAAAAAACAAGAAGCATATACAACTTACCAAGGCATCCTTAACTGAAAGAGAAAGACGTTGTTTTCCCTTTCTAATTCTTTTATCTACATCAGTAAGCATTGATTCTGCATATCGAACAAATTCATCTTCAAAGGCAGTGCGGCGATAGGAATTAGAATTTTCAAACTCTCTCTTAAGATCCTCATCATGGATTGTCTGAAAAAATACACAAGATAAGTAAACATTTACAGACAAAGAAGGGGAATGCATCACAGTAGAGCACACTTATACTTCATACCAGCATGGGTGTGAAGTATAGGTTTTAAATTTTGCAGCAAGGAGGAGGATGGAGGCAGTGATGTGGTCTGTTGAGGACAGTGTGTGGTGTGAATATTACATAGAGAATTTGTAGTTTGAAGATTAGGTGGTGTAGGGTTGCTAAGAGCATTACCAAAGGACTGACGAGGGGGTTATTAACCCTTTCAGTGGCCATCCCCTAGGACAGGGGTGGGCAAACTGCAGCCCACCAAAGGTTTTCACAGTGACCCACCAAGATCAAGTCATATACTCTCATATATGCAGGGGAATGAGCAAAACTTTGTTCATTTTCCTCTGTTGAAAACACAAGCTGTTACACAAGCATTATCAGACAAGAACAGATCCCAGTTGATGCCTTTAGAAGTTTGCCCACCCTTGACCTAGGATTACATTATTGAGGCCAGTCTCTCTCGTGTGATTCTACGTCATGAGCTTAGCTCGCTCAGATGAGCTGTGAGCAGTAAATTTTTGCCTAGATTTAAGAGAATGGGTCTGTGCAGTGTGTGTAGACAGTATAAAAACATATCCTGCTCCACACAGTGCATGACAGAAAAAGAAAAATTCTCTAAATCTTTTTTTTTTTTCATTAACCCTTTCAGGGTTTCGGCCGTACTAGTACGGCTTACACCCCAGGGTTTTTGACGCACTAGTACGCCTAAATTCTAGCGCCCTCAAATCTAGTGAGAGAAAGCTGGTAGGCCTACATATGAAAGAATGGGTCTATGTGGTCAGTGTGCACAGTATAAAAAAAATCCTGCAGCACACAGTGTGTAATGAGAAAAAAAAAACTGACCGTGTTTTTGGATTAAAACAGTGACTTTGCACTGTATTTTCGTATGGCATTTATTGTTGTATTCTAGTTTTCCAGATCTCATTTTATAGAATGGAAGACATATTACAAAAATTGAGATGATTTTTGACTGGTTTTACAATGAAAAGTACCTTGAAATTGACCACAAAGTTGCAGAAATGTTCTGTTTTTACCAAAGTTCAAAAGTAAACAAATCATGTCAAGCGTCCAATACACGTCAACTGGTGAGTCTAATATTCTTTCACAAGTGCGCTGATATTACTTATACCATTTCTACACTAATGCAGTAGTCTGCATAACAGTAAATCTTCTATTTTTTGTAAGAATAAAAATTCAAAGTGGAAAGCCAAAGAAATATAAGAGGGGCCTGGGGATGTGACTAACGAGCAGAGAACTTGTTATTTTAGTGCCAGGAATGTCTTTCTTGTTTATTCTGGACCCTATTCGGAAATTGGCATCTTTTGAAATTTGTGTGAAATTGGCAAAATTGCTAAATTCTGACCACTTTATTGGATAGTTGAAATTGGTAAATGGGTGGTTTCTTGTACTTAAGAAAAAATGGAGTTTTAAAAGAGTTATGATTTTTGTCGACTAGTACACTGGAATTTCAAATAGGGCATAAGTTCGCAAATCGCGGATGTGAAAACATGTCGAAGACCGCTAAATCACGAGAGCTAATTCCATAAGTTTCCACAAATTTCATACTTTTGGTGTCATCATTTTGGGAAAGTAATCACTTTTTAAAAAATAATTTTTTTTTTTAAATTTGGGACCTTGAGAACTAGTCTCAAGAGGGCCTGGGGAACCCTGAAGGTTAAATTAAATGTTATAATATGTGAAATAATAAAAACCTACATTTAGTTACAGAATATGAGTTGTGACCAAATCCGATCATTTGTTAGCTTACTAAGGTTAAAACAGTAATATCCAGACGAGGGAAATCATAATGCTGAAGAAGAGGGAAATTAATATTAACCTTGTTTTATTAAATTCTCTTGGAATCTTGCACTGTTTTTTCTCAAATACCTAGTCGGCAACTTATAATAAAATACAAAAAGTTTTAAAATTCTACAATTTACAACTTTTACTCAAAACATTGTTTAAATTCTAGTAAAGTCGGATAAATTGCAATGAGTAGTGGGGGTGAAGACTGGAAACTTTTACACCCTTTCAATTTTGGGGGAATTGACTATTGGAGGGTGCGGTGCGGAGAAAAAGGAGTAACTCGTGGAATGTGATAAAGGGTGTGTCAAAAAAAATTTTAGTGGTTTTTACAAAGCAGAAGTGTTTAAGAAGAGAGAGTATTTTTTTTTTTTTCAACAGTCTCGTCTCCCACCGAGGCAGGGTGATCAAAAACAAAGCAATCCCAAAAGAAATGCTTTTCATCATCATCTTACACCATTACACTAATCACTTTTTGCAAGTGCTCAGAATACAACCAAGTTAGAAGCTATTGTATAAGATCAAAAATCCCCCAAAACTGCCCAATATCCCAAATCCTCCTTTAAAGTGCAGGATGTACTTCCATTTCCAGGACTCAAGTCCGACTAATGAAAATACTCCTTTATTTTATTATTTTATTATCTCACTGGCCGATTCCACCAAGGATCATTCCGAAAAGAAAACTTTATTCATCATTCTCCATACGTCTTGCCAAAAGGTCTTCACTACAGTTTTTAAACTGCAAATAACACCCTCCTTCAGAGAGGCATTTGGACCTCCCACTCCGGGCTATCTGTTTCCCGACCCTCTTCAAAAATGTTACTTTGCCTTCAACTCCAACAGCATGTCAAGAAACCATTTGTCTCCATTCACTCCTTCATAAACTCTCACGCAAACCCCACGCTTGCAGGAGCATCCCCATGCCCCAAACCCGTCTCCTCGCTCGCATTTCCACCAACTTCACACCCATATAAATTGTTTACTATTCTTTCATTTACTTCCTTCTTTCCTCCATAGTATGTTTTTTGATCCACATATACCTCAATGCACCACTCACCTTTTTTCCCTCATATTGTTTAACCTCACCTTCATAAATCCATCCGCCGCCATCAACTCCCAAGTTCTGAAAACATTCACTTTTCCATACTCCTCCCCCCATTGATATAAAATTTTTCTTTATCTAAATCATTTGATACCCTCATCACCATTACTCTTTTCTATGTTCACTTTCAACTTTTACCTTTAACACCATTCCCAAACTCATCCACTAACCTTTGCAATTTTTCTTTAGAATCTCCCATAAGCATAGTATCATCAGCAAAAAGTAACTGTGTCAATTCCCATTTTAAATTTGATTCCCCATAATTTAATCCCACCCCTCTCCCGAACACCCTAGCATTTACTTCTTTCACAACCCCATCTATAAATATATTAAACAACCATGGTGACATTACACATCCCTGTCTAAGACCTACTTTTACCGGGAAGTAGTCCCCACTCTTCTACACACCCTAACCTGAGTATATGGCAGAGTATATGGCGAGTAAAAGAAAGGTGAAGGGAGTGATGATAGTGCAAAAGGAGAGCAGATGATAGAGTGGGAGAGGCACTGTCAAGAAATTTTTATGAAAATAAGAAAAAATTTTGGAGTGAGATAAACAAGTTAGGAAAGCTTAAGGAACAAATGGATTTGTCGGTTAAAAACAGTAGGGGAGTTGGTAGATGGGGAGCTAGAGGTATTGGGTAGATTGCAGAATATTTTGAGGAACTTTTAAATGCCGATGAAGAAAGGGAGGTGGTAATTTCATGCACTGGTCAGGGAGGTATAACATATTTCAGGAGTGAAGAAGAGCAGACCTGAGTGTGGGGGAGATGCATGAGGCATTACATAGAATGAAAGGGGGTAAAGGAGCTGGAACTGATGGGATCAAGTGTTTACAATGAAGCATATATGTGAACAGTATTTAGATAAAAGTAGGGAAGTTTTCACTGCATTTATGGATTTAGAAAAGGCATATGATAGTGTGGATAGGGGAGCAATGTGGCAGATGTTGCAAGTATATGGAATAGGTAATAAGTTACTAAATGCTGTAAAGAGTTTTTATGAAGATAGTGAGGCTCGGGTTAGGGTGCATGTAGAAGAGAGGGAGATTACTTCCCAGTAAAAGTAGGTCTTACACAGGGATGTGTAATGCCACAATGGTTGTTTAATATATTTATAGATGGGGCTGTAAAAGAGGTAAATGCTAGGATGTTGGGGAGAAAGGTGGGATTAAATTATGAGGAATCCAAATCCAAATTGGGAGTTGACACAGTTACTTTTTGCTGATGATACTGTGCTTATGGGAGTATCTAAAAAAAAAAATTGCAAAGGTTAGTGGACAAGTTTGGGCGGGTGTGTAAAGGTAGAAAGTTAAAAGTGAACAAAGATAAGATTAAGGTGATGAGGGTATCAAATGATTTAGATAAAGAAAAATTGGATATCACAATGGAGAGAGGGAATATGGAAAAAGTGAATGTTTTCAGATTTTGGGAGTTGACATATCAGCAGATGGGTTTATGAAGGATGAGGTTAACCACAGAATTGATGAAGAAAAAAAGGCGAGTGGTGCATTCAGGTACATGTGGAGACAAAAAAACGTTATCTACGGAAGGAAAGAAGAGAATGTATGAAAGTACAGTGGTGCCAACTCTCTTATATGGGTGTGAAGCTTGGGTTGTAAATGCTGCAGCGAGGAGGCGGTTGGAAGCAGCAGAGATGTCCTGTCTAAGGGCAATGTGTGGTGTAAATATTATGATAAAGAGGGGTTGTTGAGGTGGTTTGGTTATTCAGAGAGAATGGATCAAAGTAGAATGACATGGAGAGCATATAAATCTGTAGGGGAAGGAATGTGGGATAGGGTTTGTCCTCGAAAAGGTTGGAGGGAGAGAGTAAAGGAGGTTTTGTGGGCGAGGGGCTTGGACTTCCACCAATCGTGCGTGAGCGTGTTAGATAGGAGTGAATGGAGATGAATGGTTTTTGGGACTGACGAGCTGTTGGAGTGCGAGCAGGGTAATATTTAGTGAAGGGATTCAGGGAAATCAGTTATTTTTATAAAGCCGGACTTGAGTACTGGAAATGGGAAGTACAATGCCTGCACTTTAAAGGAGGGGTTTGGGATACTGGCAGTTTGGTGGGATATGTTATATCTCTTTATATATGTATCTAAACTGTTGTATCGGGCACCTCTTCAAAAACAGTCATTATGTATGAGGTGAAAGTGTTGAATGATGATGAAAGTATTTTCTTTCTTTTTGGGTCACCCTGCCTCGGTGGGAGACGGCTGACTTGTTAAAAAAAAAATCTAGAACTGTAGCAACAAAACTGAATCCTCCATAGGACATATATATTCCAAATAGTAAGCACTTTAATTAAAGTAAATACCAATCCACTTACAAGCAACATCAATGCCAGGTGATAATCATTCTACGTAACTGCACCAAAAATGTTAGTAAAACATATTTCTTGCTTCAAAAAACTTTTTAATTTTGCACTTACTTTCTCACAAGGACCAAGATCTGATTTGGTATTTGTGAAGAGGTCATGTGGACAGAATTTTACTAAGAAGTGGCGGCAGACCTGCAAAACGGGAGAAAAGTAAATATATAATACAGAATGCCTTTAATTAAAATAAATACATATAATGTTCAGTACTAATCTTCAAAGCAAATTCCAAGTAACCACCATGGTCTCCACTGTGATCAAGGGCATCACCTGTAGAGGAGACAGCTACAGCACAGGTATACACAATCCCCTGCAACCACAACAATAAAATATGTATACATGGATGAGACATCCAGAGAACTCCACAAATGCATTTCTGCACACCAATACAATAGTTAAATTGACAACTTGGATAATGCCTATATAAATAACAAAAAAAAAAAAAAAAGGCACAATAGCATGACTGGAGCAATACACAAATAACCTGACACCAACAATGCTCTTTTCTGTCATGTCAGAGATCACAGTCATCCTACTGACTGGTCTTCTGCTAAAACCGTCTACCCTACTTCTAACTTTCAGTCGCCATCGGGTTGAATCCTCCCCTATACACAACTTTCCTAGTATGAATCTTAGTCCTGGCTTTGTCTCTGTAGATGCCTTCCTTTCCCATTACACTGCAATATGCTCCAAACTTCAGAACACCCATGACTTAACCTGATTTTTTTTCCCTTCTCCCTTTTCCCCCTTTCCTCTTTCTCCTTTGTGTCTTCTTTCTTCTGCCTTGGGTATTTGTCCTTTATTTTCCCCCCCTCTGTGTTCTTGCTCCTTCCCTCTGTGGGCCCCTAGCTCCTTTGCAGTGCTCCTCTTTCTTAGAATTTGACTTACTGACTGACTACTACTACTACTCCTACTAATACTACTACTACTAATACTACCACTACTACTATTACTACTACTAATACTACTACTACTACTACTAACTCTCTTCCTCCTTTCCTACTACCTCTCTCGTCCCGTCCCTGTCTGCTGCCCTATATGTACTCCCTCCTCTTCTTTTCGTTAGCGAGACTTTGTAAATGGTCCAAGTCGGACAGACACATCATTGTAAGCTCCTGTCTTCTACGTGCAGGTTATTTGCGTATAATGCCTATATTTCAAGCCTAAACTCCCACAACTAAATTAATTAAAACAGGGGGGAAGCACTACTCATTGTCAAGGACACTCAGACAGAATCAGTACTCTTCAGCATACAGTATCCAACAATTTCAACCAAAACAATAGCTTCTACAACAAAACTGAGCCACTCACCAGATGATGATTAGGTCATCTACCCATGTAGCAAAGGCTCAGGGAAACAATGCAACAGGCCTGCTGACCCAAGCTAGGCATTACCCCCCCTCTCCACACACTATTTGTCTGGCACCTAACCTCACACTCTATCTCACTGTGCTAACCTGCATATACTTAACCTCCCTCTCCAGGCTCATGTCCATGGCTCAATAAAGCCCAATGCCTGGAAAAACATCACTAATAAAAGATCACACTATGCTGCACTTCTCTCTCTAAGTGCTACCACTAATCCAAGGACAGTACCCATGCCTGTGAAGAAACAGGTGTGATAACTGATTATGATGGAAATCACTAATTACAGTAGAACACAACTATATGTAGCTGCAGGAGCATAGCTATGCTCAGTGCCTCATCTTCATTATGTTCATCATAAAAATGTTTAGATTCCCAATAGCTGTAGCACTTACTACCTCCTCTCAATTTATTCCATTCTTCTATCACTATTTGTAAGGAAAAAAATTCCCAGTACATGTATCTCATACATTCCCCATTTCTTAATTTATATATGGCCTTCTACTATCTCTGTTAAAAGTACTAAAAACACTATCTATTCTTCCATATCCTATTGTAACCTTACAGCTATAGTATCATATCTCCTCATTTCCTATCAGCCCACATGGGTGTCTTTCATCATAACTCATCATTTACCTCTGATTCATTTTGGAGCTCCTCTTTGGACTATCTAAATCTATTTTCTTTTTTCATGTGCAGACAATGCACACCAGATGCATAGTTCAATTCTGGTCCAACTGCACATAGCTTTTTTCGGCACTTCTACATTCATACATCTGACAGCTATTGTATAGTTAGCTACTATAATATATGCATTTCTCACAATTTCATTTATATAATCTTCAGTTTTTCAAGGTTAGACATTGCACACCAGATGCATAGTCCAATTCTGGTCCAATATACATATCCTGTACATAACTTTTTTCAGCACCTCTACATTCATATATCTGAAAGCTATTTTATAGTTAGCTACTATAATATATGCATTTCTTGCAATTTCATTTATATAATCTTCAGGTGACAATTTCTCATAACTCCATAACTAAAATGTGTAATAATGAACCTATCCCCACATGATTTTTGCCTTATCCCAATATAATTCTTGCCTATCAGGATGACTAGTAACATTGCTCCAGGGCATGAATGTTCAGTATTCAAAGACAATCTCTAGCATATTTATCTTGAAAATCATGTCTGTAAAACACACAAGAATAGCTACTATTATTACATATACGTGCATAAATATGTAAATTATATATTATATATGTTTTCTTTTTATTAACCCTGGAATGCAGGTGGGAGAGATACATGATTATATACACCTGGAAAATCCTAGAGGGACTAGTACCAAACTTGCACACGAAAATCATTCTCTCCGAAAGCAAAAGACTCGGCAGACGATGCAACATCCCCCCCCCAATGAAAAGCAGGGGTGTCACTAGCACGCTAAGAGACAACACATTAAGTGTCAGGGGCCCAAGACTGTTCAACTGCCTCCCAGCATACATAAAGGGGATTACCAATAGACCCCTGGCAGTCTTCAAGCAGGCACTGGACACGCACCTAAAGTTGGTACCTGACCAGCTGGGCTGTGGCTCGTACGTTGGATTGCGTGCAGCCAGCAGTAACAGCCTGGTTGATCAGGCCCTGATCCACCATGAGGCCTGGTCACAGACCAGGCCGCGGGGGCACTGACCCCCGGAACTCTCTCCAGGTAAACACATCCAGTTGCCTCCCACCAAGGTAGAGTGACCAAAAAGAGAAGAAACACTTACACCATCACTTACTCCATTATCTTGCCAAAAACACATGGATACTGCAGTTCAGATACCCTCCAAACTGCAAATATCCCTACCCTACTTTACACCTCCAAGACTCAAGTCCAGCTAACTAGTTTCCCCTGAATCCCTTCATAATGTTACCTTGCTCACACTCCAAAAGCATGTAAATCATAAAAACCACTTGCTTCCACTCCTATCCACATCACACCTGCTGGATGTCTAAGTCCTTAGCATACAAAAACCTCCTTTACCCTATCCCTCCAACCTTCCCAAGGGGTGACCCCTACCCTGCCTGCCCTCCGCTACATATTTATACACCCTCCTAATCATGCTATTTTGCTCCATTCTCTCTACATGCCCAAACCACCTCAACAACCCCTTCTCAGCCCTCTGGATAATAACCCAGCACCTCATCTCCAAACTATGAATTCTCTGCATATTCACACCACACTTTGCCCTCAGACATGACAACTCCACTTCCTCCAGCCTCCTCCTCACTGCAACGTTCACAACCAATACTTCACATCTATATAAGAGTACCTGGAGAGGGTTTCAGGGGTCAACTGTGAGAGTATATTGGTACCATATACTCTCTCATATATATACCCCTTTTTGCCTCCATAGATACATTATACACATATAATATATTATAAATTAAATTATAATTTCACCATTGTATAATTTCACCATTGTATACTGCCTACTCATGGTGCAGCAACAGTATTAGTCATCATGATTACAACTCAGTATCTCTAAGCAGCCAACAAGGAAAGGATAGTAACACATAAGTAGTACAACATGCGATATTCAGTGCTTTTGACAAAAAAAACAAAAAGGCACACCCACAAAACTCTCATACCAAAACTATCCTACAAAAATAGAAATCATCCACACTTATAATCACAGAACAAAAAAATGGATACCCTCACATATTCTAGCCAGTAAATAAAAAGGCTAATAAAAATTTAATTATCACTGTAGTACAAAATGACAAATACAATACTATCTATAAAAAAAAATTACTGACTTGTAATGAATTTCACTGTGCACCAAACTATTGCGGGCAATTCAACACCTGGAGTGATGGAAGCTAAATTCTCCAACAAACCCCACCCAGTCTTGCCCTTAAAAAGCTGATTTTATTGCCCCTATTAGTTCAAAACACTTTTTTACAAGTGATAATTTCCCCCTACTCAATGTTACTATAGGCATATTTTTAGTAATATTATGTTATTTTCCTCCTAACTAAAGTTTTCCTGATAAGGAATTCCTGATCTTCATCTATGAATTGGTTGATATTTTCTTTATTTTCTTTAACATGGGAGGGTAATTTTCTGCAGTAAATTTGTTTAAAGGGGAAAACCAGTTGTGATTCCTTTGCAATGCCTCTTAAGGAGACACAAAGACTGGGTTTAACTCTTATAAAAATGTAATCCCCGATCACCCCTTCTAAAACACTATACCCCTTTAAAATTTTTTGAACTGCTTATTTCATAAACCCTAATTGAATGATGATTTGGTAATGTTAGTAAAATGGCTGCCATTCCTAAGTTATCCTAAACAAATTAAATAGGAGGGTCAGACCCTCATCAACATTACATAATACCAATAACTTTTTTTCTTTTTTTTATTATCCTTTGGCCTTTCCCCACCAAGGCGGGGGGCCCTGAAAAAAAAAAAATTTCACCATATTCTTTTCCATCACTGTTTTGCAGAAGGGTGCTTTACACACGTTTTAAAACGCAACATTAAACCCCTCCTTTAAGGGCAGGCCTGTACTTCCCCCTCCAGGATAAGTCCGGCCTCCCGGGTTTTCCCCGAACCCCCTTCATAAAGTTACTTTGTCCCCCCCAACAGACGTCAAGTTTTAAAAAACCCTTTTTTCCATTCACTTATCAAACGCTCCCGATGCCTGCTGGAAGTCCCAAGCCCCCCGCACCAAAACCTCCTTTACCCCCTCCCTCCCAACCCTTTTCCCAGGCCGAAACCCCACCCCCCCTTCCTTCCATACAGACTGATACACTTTGAAGTCATTCTGTTTCGCTCCATTCCTCTAGGCCCAACCCCCTCAACACCCTTCCCCAGCCCCCCTGGAAACAGTTTTGGTAACCCGACCTCCTCCTAAATTTCCAAACTACGAATTCTCTGCATATATTCACACCCACATTTCCCTCCAAAAGACATCTCCCCTGCCCCCAGCCTTCTCCCCGCGCAACATTCATCACCCATGCTTCACACCCCTATAAGAGCTTGGTAAAACATCTCCATCATTTTCCCCCTTTGCCTCCAAAGGGCAAAGTTCTTTTTTCCCCGCTCTTTAAATGCACCTCACCTTTTTCCCCCCATCAAATTCTATGATTCACCTCATCTTTCATAGACCCATCGCTGACACGTCCACTCCCAAATATCTGAATACATTCACCTCCTCCATACTCTCTCCCTCCAATCTGATATCCAATCTTTCATCACCTAATCTTTTTGTTATCCTCATAACCTTACTCTTTCCTGTATTCACTTTTAATTTTCTTCTTTTGCATACCCTACCAAATTCATCCACCAATCTCTGCAACTTCTCTTCAGAATCTCCCAAGAGCAGTGTCATCAGCAAAGAGCAACTGTGACAACTCCCACTTTATGTGTGATTCTTTATCTTTTAACTCCACGCCTCTTGCCAAGACCCTCGCATTTACTTCTCTTACAACCCCATCTATAAATATATTAAACAACCACGGTGACATCACACATCCTTGTCTAAGGCCTACTTTTACTGGGAAATAATTTCCCTCTTTCCTACATACTCTAACTTGAGCCTCACTATCCTCGTAAAAACTCTTCACTGCTTTCAGTAACCTACCTCTTACACCATACACTTGCAACATCTGCCACATTGCCCCCCTATCCACCCTGTCATACACCTTTTCCAAATCCATAAATGCCACAAAGACCTCTTTAGCCTTATCTAAATACTGTTCACTTATATGTTTCACTGTAAACACCTGGTCCACACACCCCCTACCTTTCCTAAAGCCTCCTTGTTCATCTGCTATCCTATTTTCTGTCTTACTCTTAATTCTTTCAATAATAACTCTACCATACACTTTACCAGGTATACTCAACAGACTAATCCCCCTATAATTTTTGCACTCTCTTTTGTCCCCTTTGCCTTTATACAAAGGAACTATGCATGCTCTCTGCCAATCCCTAGGTACCTTACCCTCTTCCATACATTTATTAAATAATTGCACCAACCACTCCAAAACTATATCCCCACCTGCTTTTAACATTTCTATCTTTATCCCATCAATCCCAGCTGCCTTACCCCCTTTCATTTTACCTACTGCCTCACGAACTTCCCCTACACTCACAAATGGCTCTTCCTCACTCCTACAAGATGTTATTCCTCCTTGTCCTATACACGAAATCACAGCTTCCCTAACTTCATCAACATATCCACATCAATAACATGGGAAATGCACTTATCTGTTGTGGAAAATGCTACCTATCAAGATGTTAGCTATTAATAACAAAATAGTAAAATAATAATCATATTATAATCATAACTAAGTGCTAAACCGATAAGGGTCATACAGCAGCAATTATAATAATAATATAAAATAATATAAAATAATAAAAATAAAATAATAAATAATAAAATAATAAAATAATAAAATAATAAAATAATAATAAAATAATAAAATAAATAAAATAATAAAATAAATAAAATAATAATAAAATAATAAATAAAATAATAAATAAAATAATAATAAAATAAATAATAAAATAATAAATAATAAAAATAATAAATAATAAAATAAATAAAATAATAAATAAAATAATAAATAAAATAAAATAATAAATAATAATAA